ACCGCTACTGCAACTTGATTAACCCGTTTGTTCTGTCGTTTACGATACTTTTCCGCAATTTTAATTTCATCAGCCATTTTTTGTCTTGTCCTGTGCACATAGACATAAAATTCAGAAACCCTGATAAGAAATTACTTAAAATTTAACAAGAAAATAAGTTGTTTAATTCCTACAGAAATCAAGTAGTCACATAATACATAAAAATAGATACAAACGATCACAGTCATCTTCTAAGTCACATAAAAATAGATACAAATTATCACAGTCATCTTCTAAGCAACATAAATGAAGTCTCAATCCTTAGTTGCATGCTTCAAGAAGATCAGTAGTTTTTCCCTCTTGTTCTTCAGAGCCACATACATCTCCCTTGCAGCTGGCTTATCCATAAGAAGTGTTGTGCACCGGCCAAACAAATCAGGATCATCAACAATTTCATCAACTTCATTAAGGTGCTCCATGACTCCCGCAATTGACGTCTCATAAGCACGTGCTTCTTCTTCTAGCTTCCTAGCACGTGCTTCTGAAATCTCTTCATGTTCACGCTGAGAATCATTTTCATTTGCTTGAGCTATCCTGCTTAGTGCATCCGCTATTTTCATAGTGGTAGTAGATTTCTTCTTCATGGATTCACCCTTTTTTCTAACTCCTAATGAGCTACTAGGTCGACTGCCACCTGTGCTTCTACCCCCACGAATGGTTTCCTGTCTCATTCCAGTGTTGCCTCCACTTTCTCCACTATTGTCATTGAATGTGACTGAATTAAACTCCCCGCTTATGCCAGTTGGTGCCCCCAAAATTTCATCACTATCTCCAGATCCTTCTTCCATATCATTTTCAAGAACTCCTTCGCTTGGAAGTGTCATGGAAGAAGGTGCCCATGACTGTGGTCCAGTGGCAGCTACAGACCCAAAGAGTTGAGTCAATTCAGCCCGAAATTGAAGCCCTCTTTCTCTAAATTTCTCATAGCCTGGAACTTCCTGCGCATTCAACACCAAAAATATTATACATTATACAAAAAACGTTAACATGGGAGAAAATACAAGCTCAAATAAAATTAAATGATTACCACTATTTTCTTCTCCCACCAATCATCAGGGGCACTACTAGTATTCCTTTCGGCATCCCACCCTAAACCTGTCTCACGGAGCAGCCTATCCCATAACTGCCACTCCTTTCGCAAGGTATCATATTTGTTCTTTAATTGGATTTTCGTATAAACTCTCCTAGTCTTTGCAGCAAAGTTCTCCTCAATACTTGTCCAAGCAGGCTTTGTCAAGCTAGTTCCTCTTCTTCCCCCCTTTTCAACTTCTTCAATACACAGGTCAATAAAGACCTTTGTGGCTCTTATATCCCACGAAGCTTTGCTATCCCAATTACAACAGTTCAGTTATCACAAATTTAACCCAAAAAGCATACCATTCAGTCCAGGAGATATGATATAACAAGATAGTATTTAACAAGTATAGCGGCGTGTTCTATAATCCAACGGTATACATACACATTAATAATTATTTTTTTTCCCAGCATCCAGGAGAATTCATTTCGGTTAACTGACCCAATTTGGCTACAACCAACGATCAAAATCCCATACATATAACACTGCAAAAGCAACCATCAAGCATAAAAGAAAAAAATTCGACTGTCCTGTCTCCGAAATAAAATCGACCAAACGGAAAATTTGATCAACACCCACCAAATGCTCTGTCTCTCATACACACACACACGAAGCACAACCAGTCACAACCCATCGTATACACACACACATGATTACCATCAAACAAAATCAGCCTCTACAAGTGAACATAGCATAGGCAACCGGTGAAACCAACATCTGATTCGGAAGAAAAAAACGATGCTGACGGAACCTCTGTTCGGGGAAAAAATTGACGCTTCACAGAATTTCTAATGCACCAGATCTCCAGCCACAATGACCGACGGAAGAAGACAGCTTACCGGAAGGAGTTGGATCTGACCGACGGAAGAAGACACGGCGACTAGAGCTTCGAAAGGGGCGACAGTGGAAGAATGAACTGACTTCAAATGAACTGACCAGCGACGATACCGGAAATGGAAGGCTTGGATCAGGCAACCCAATACGCGATCTTCTTCTCGGAGGCCGAGAAACACCTCATCGGCACTGAAATTCCTCAGCGGTTCACGATCTCACCGATGGGATGAAGAGGCGACGGCACAGGAGAACCGATTTCTTCAGCAGGGGCGACGGCACAGGAGAAGGGAAATCTTTAGAGTAGTGGGAGAAGGGCCGACGGAATGGGAGAGAAGAGGCCGAAGAATGGGTCATGACTGTGAGCTGAAGGAACCCCGCGTGCTTGTTCCCTTCACCGTGGAGCTGACCGTTGAGCCTTTGTTGGGGAGAGCCAATAATTGAAGCCAATTATTCCCTTATCTGGAAACCATGGAGCTGAATTGTGTACCCCCGCCTGCTTATTTGGAAACCGAGGTTTTGCCCAAAACCTTGGTTTTAAAAAAAATGGGGGTGTTTGGCAAATTTTTTGCCAAACCATGGTTTGGCAAAAAAGCCAAACACCCCTTTAATCTATTCTCCAGAAGCTATTCTACAAACCATGGTTTTGCCTCATCCAAACACCCCCTACATATTAATACACAAGCTATTTAATTAATTACTTGGCTGGTAAAAAAATATTACTTGAGCATATATATATATATATATAAGTTAAAGTTTCTAATTCTATACTAAAACCCCCAACCTCTCATAACCCATAACTAAATCTTTTAGCACAAAATTAATATATCCTAACAATCGATAATTTTCATTTATCCCTTTCAAAAATATTTACTTTAATACAGATTTTTTTATCAAATTTTTAAAACCTGAAATTATCATATTTAAAATTCAAAAATCCTATTTCAAATTTAAATCTAAAAAATAAACCATTAGAAATTCAATATACATCAAATACACTTAAGTAAATAATTTAAATAAAAAGTTCCATAGCAGAAATATCATACTTTCCACAAATATATATATCTGGTTAACTAAAATAATTCATTTAAAAATATTAGGTCAATTAATAAACAAAACTAAATGAATAGAAATAATCCATTCAAAAAGTCATTTGACTTATCAAAATAATATGCAAATATTAAAATTCTACTGGAAAAAAAAAGGAGAGGGCGGTACTCGAGAAGGAGAAAAAGAAAGACGAGGCCTCTCCAGTCTCCACCCCACCCCAATGGTTAAAATAAAGTTTTGGGATAAATTCCAATTAAAGACCCTATATTAAAATGAGACGATATTCCAATGTAGAACCCATTTTTTCTATTTTCTTGCATTTTCTTTCTTTTTTTTAATCCGTTTTGTTATTATTATTTACTAAATTTTCTTATATGTATACTTTATAAATCTTATTTTAAAAAACTCTCTTTTCTTAAATAATTAGAGAATAAAATTTATTTATTAAGTATTAAACTCCTTTTAATGTTATTTAAATATTAGGAATAAAACTAGGATGTTACATGTACTATCCGTTTACAGAAAATTCTCTTCACATTCATTAATAGAAATAGGTTTCCATAACATGTTCTCAATTAAGATTTGGGATTCTTGCATGTCTTAGAAGTATGTCCAACCTCATTGCATTTTCCACAAGGATAAATCTTTTTATTTTGGATCCAATATTCTCTCTTGTTGGTATTTGAAAATTTACGTGATAGTTATTATTAACAAGTCAAGTAGAAATATTGACAACTATTGCTACTTACATTGACAATACATCCTTCTATTTCATAACAAATGTTTCTACCCATGCCAACCTTTATTTTTTTTATCCATTCCTACTGAACCATGTCCAGACAGAGCAAATCCACTATCAACCCACCTGTAATATACTCAAAAACAAAATATCCATCATCATTCTACCCACTCATAATAAAATTTCAACTTAAATCACTAAAACACACCAAATCAAAAAAGACAAGCTTTGCATTACTTAATTTGTTATAGTGAACCAAAAACAAAAGTTTTGCAACAATTAAATGGTAGAACGATTTGCTACATACCCATACCCAAATCCAATATGTTAACCAAAATCTTCTTTCAAAGGAGAGGAGAAAGTTTTGAACCTCGAAATCGACCGAGATGATGAAGACGGAAAGCGCTTGGATTTTGATTCTTTTGTTGTCAATCTCTTTTTTCTTATGCTTAGGCTGTGTTTGAGTGACACCCCAAACCATGGTTTGGGGAATAAATCACCCAAACACCCACGCAAAAACCAAAATCATGGTTTTGGAAAAAGCAAATTTTTTTTGCTTTTGGAGAAAAAAGGGAGAGTGTGAGAGCCTATAGGATATATATCTTGTTTTTTTTATAAACATATTTTTTTTATAAAGATATTTAATCTTATATTTTATAAATATATATACATATTAATTATTTATTAATTATATTATCTTATGTATTATTAATTATGTTAATAAAAAATATATTATTAACAATTTTATTCTTTCAAATTAAAATATATCATAAAATCTATTTTTTCTGTAATTATCATATTAACTTATGTTTTGTTTTTGGTAATTTGTATATATAAAAAGTACTTCTGATAACAACTATCCAAACACTCTCACTTCTCAAAATCACTTTTTCATAAAATCTATTTTTTCCAGAATCTATTCTTCAGAATCACTTTTTCAAACCACGGTTTGGTTTCATCCAAACACACCCTTAGGAGCTCAAAGATACAGGAAATCAGTTTTCCTTTTTTCTCTTCATTTTTTTTGTCTGCCTTACCAGTGGTACAAGGGTCTATTCACCTTTTTCATTATTGCAATCAGGTCTTGTTGGGACTCTAAACAATTAAGTTTTCAAGGATTTTTTTGGCTATATTTTCCTTGTTTGGGTCCCTGGTGCAATTTTCCCAAAAATTAATGGGACTGATTTTTGGTTCCGGTCGTTGGCTTGCCATTAAAAAAAAAAAAAAGGTTTTTGATTCCGTTCTTCTGAATTTTTTTTAACCGCCCTCGTCAGCACAATCTGCCTGTTTGGTCAACTTCGGAGTAGATTGTGTCGCAGACAAGCCTTCAACAGAATGGAGCGATATGAGAGTGAGAAGCAAACTGAACAGCACGATGCCGCAAGCAAAACCAATCTTCACTTCACTCAACCAATCCGTTGTATAGTAAAACTTGGTGGGTCTGATTTTTTTTCCTTCCTCTCTTTCCTCATTGTAAAGTTCTAATCATTCTTAATTCGATCTATTTCCGAATTCGCTCTCTCGTCGGCTATTATTACTTTGATTTCCACACTTCATGTTGATGTTACTTGCATTTCCTATTTCAGAATATGCATCGCGCGTACTTGTTTTCTTTGGCTCAAAAGACTCGTAAGACTATCATCAATAATTCATAGTGGCAAAGTTTCAAGTTTGTGATAGTTGTATAAGATGGGCCCTTTATGGGATGAAAGTCAATAATGTAAAATATTCGACTTTGAGCTTAACATATGGGTCTTGGAAAGCTTTCTTTTAGTAATGTATTTTTTATTTATGTCATTAAGGTGGAGCTGCTATCACTCGCAAAACTGAATTAGAGATGATAAATGAGGAAACTCTTCAGAAGGTATCAGAACAGCTTAGGCAAGTGATGATTGCATCTTCGGCAAAGCCTCCTGGCATGGATTGGAGCAAGAGAACCGGAAAACCAGACATTTCTTGTAACCCTGAAGAGTTCGGCGACCATTCACTTCTTGACTGTAGGCGTTTCATTGTTGTTCATGGAGCAGGTTCCTTGTCTTGCTTTTTGTCATGAAGTAAAAAATTTTTATTCAGATTAATAACAAAAGTGAAATTGTACTTTTGTGCAATTTGATATTGCATATCCGAGGGATTTAAGTGTTGGAGATGCATAATTAGAACCAGAGCTCATGTTTTCTTGTTAGATACTATAACAAGACTATTCCATGGCCTTCACTTAACTGCATAAACTTCTATTTGATGTATTTATTGACCTTTATGAACTCCAATTAATTGAGGATATTAGAAAGCACGGAAATTTATGATGTAATGAATGAGAATGCTCTAATTCAGTGAGTTCAGTTCAGCTATTTGAGGGGCGCAGTAGTGGTGAAGACAATGGATTTAAATTATAACCAAATATCGTGCATTTGCAGCTAGGTTGGTAGATGGTACTCATACTTCTTGGAGCACATTAACTTTTAACAACTGCAGAATGGCATCCTCCATTGCTGCATAGAATGGTGCTAATGTTATGATTAATATTATGAAGAGCTGCAATACATGTTATAGCAGTTCTATCTTCCTGAGCTGCTATAAGGTGAACTAGTAGCAAAAAGTATGCAATAGATTGTATGTGATATTGTGAGGTAGACCTTTTATTGATGTTGAGACTTAATTATATTCTCTGGTCCTTCCAGGTTCTTTTGGGCATTTTCAAGCTAGCAAATCTGGAGTCCACAAAGGACAATTGCATAAACCACTTGTCAAGGGTGGTTTTGTTGCTACACGGATTTCTGTAAGATATCACTTTATTTTTTCAAACTTCATTTTGCAAATTTATAGGTCATGTCTAGAGTTTTATGGCCGGAGTTTGTGGCAACAAATGTGATGGTTTGAATGTTATACTAGCAGCCTGATACAGCTACAACCTTATAGCTCATTGTTTTCACCAACTCAAGTTCTGATGAAGCATAGACAGAAATTCCTGTTTTAAGCTCTAAAAATAATTGAAATCTATTGACCTTTAACATCATTCGAGCTAAGATTCTATTGAATTCCCCAGTTCTCTTTATATTTTGTCAAATAGTATGCTACAAAAATGTAATGTGTAAAATAATTTGTAGGGATTATTTGTTTTGGATAAACAAATGATCTCAATACAAATTATGCATTGACACATGAATTAAATCTTTTTTCTTTGTTCTTATCTCTTTATTTGTTCACATTTTCAGGTAACCACCCTAAATATTGAAATTGTTAGAGCACTGGCCAGAGGTAATAATATATTGGCTCTTGTAGTAAAAACTGCACAATTGCTCTTGCTATATTAATATGATGCTGGGTACTTGTTCTTTTATTCAAGCTTTTCTGCAGAGAGTTGTCATTTTTGTCCAACATAATTCTTTTTGTCTGAGTAGGCAAATGGTTATTAAAAGCCATTTTTGTCTTTCAAACTCTTTGATGATAATGCCGTCAATAAATAGAATGATAATAAGTTATTGACACAGAGGATATTGCAGCACATCATAAGCCCTGCCTCATTCTTGAGTTTTAGGGATGTATACATAGGAGCATACTAGATTGTTCATTATAATCTCTCCATGCAATGTTTGCTCTTATCTATTTTATTTCCCATTTTCCTTTTTCTTTTTGCTGTATTTGCTTTTGAGAAGAATTCTAATCCATTTCGTACTTTTAATCATTTTGTGCAGAGGGTATTCCTTCAATTGGAATGTCTCCATTTTCATGTGGATGGCTCACCAGTGAGAGACATGTTAGAAAATATGAATAAACAGTATACCTTGTCTTGTTAGATCAATTACATATATTAGAAATTGTCACCTATTTTTACCATCTTTTCAGTTAGTGTCTAACTCCTGTCTGTGTTTCAATTCAACACTTGCAGATGACCTCAACAGATTTTTCCATGGTGGCTAAAACAGTAGACTCTGGTTTTGTACCAGTAAGATTGGATTCTTTAATCTGTACTGTAATTGAAAGCTTTTGAATTGTTGTAACATCTGAAGTTTTATAAGTAAGATTAAGATGAGATTATTTTATGGTAATTGGGATTTACCATGGAAATTATTTGAGTAAGGAGAATTTACCTAAAATGGGATTAAATTTTAAGGACTTAATCCCAAGCCATATTTTCGAGAAAAGGGAAAATAATGTGGTTTAGTAGGGATAAATAAAGATAAGTAAAATAATTTCTCACTTAAAAGATTTTTATTATTTAAATATTATCAAAGATGATTTAAATACTCTTAAGACCAAGATATGGGTTATGAGCTAGTAGAAATTTCATAAATTAGATTAAAAGTATACTGTTTGTTCAGATTTTCATCCTAATGTTACTTAAATCCTAAGAATAAAGATTGGGATGTTACACCTGTAACTTTCCCTCTTTCTACTCGACAATTTTTCTTTTTTTTAATTTTTGGTTTTTTTATCTTCTCTTTGTCATTCTTCTTCTTCTTCTTCTTCTTCTTCTTCTTCTGGTAATAAAAGGCCAAATGACATTAATAACAAAAGATAAAGTTCATCATAAAGGTAATGTCAAAGGAAAGTAGGAAACAAAGAAAAAAAAAGTTAGCAGTTTCAAATGAGGAAGAATTAACTACCGCGTCAAAACTAGTAAATGAAGAGAGAAAGGCCAAAATATCCTCCAAGACAACATTTCCTGTGCCTATCCTTTGATTAGCCACTTGAGCCAATTGTTTAATTGACACCAAGAGTTTTAGTTATGTTGTCCTAGGAGAAAAGAGAGAGGATTTAATTATCCAAGAAACAGTGGAACGAAGACACTTATAATTGAATAGATGATCCTTTTTTGTCTTCGGAACCCATCGGAAATATTGGAGAGGCTGACCCTAAAAACACACCCAAGAATGACCAAGAACACACTTCTTGCTTCTTGCTGCTCTTTGTCATTCTATTCTAGGAGAAAGCCATTTTAGACATTAGCAGTCATTAAAATGCTTCTTCAATGTTTGAAGAGCATGAAATGTCAGACATAACTGTCAATGGATAAGAAGAAAACTTGTCATCCTTTCAAAATAAAGTTTCCTGAAGTTAATGAGATAAAATAGATCACACACATCTAGTTTCTTCGTTTCACCTCTTTAAGGGTTCCGGTTTCTGTAACGGTTTTCTCATTTGTCTCAGTATTTTCGGTAATGATTTGGGGCACTTGCTGATTTGTTCAGGTTTTGCATGGAGATGCAGTGCTTGATGAGATTCAGGTACAGACTTAAATTTCAGTGCAACTGTAAACCAACAATGCAATTTGAAGTTTTCATAGTATGTTTCAGGGGTGCACTATTTTGAGTGGAGATGTCATCATAAGTCATCTGGCAGCACATGCAAAGCCAGAATTTGTTGTTTTTCTTGTATCCATCTTATATACATTTATGAATGGCTCTTGATATAATACTCTTTCTCCGCATGCCAAACCAAATGGTTTTATGATGATACTCCTTATGGTCTAGGACATATCCTGATTTTTTCCCCCCTCTCTTTTACTCACGTCACATTTTCAATACTCTGAGTTGTCCAGCCTTATGGCTAATTTATCATCTGATAAGGAAAGATTGGTTTTCCAAAATATTTAATGATAGTGAGCCACTAACAATTTAAAGCCTATCTCGATATTTCACATCTTTAATTTGAGAGGACATTCCATAAATGTTTTCCATTAAGGAATGATGAAAGACTGATGTCTATGGGGTGTATGACCGTCCACCAACAGAACCTGATGCAGTACTCCTAAAGGAGATAGGTGAGCACTAGATCTTCTGAATGGCCTTGTCTCCTTCATGGTTGGTGTAAAGTGAAAAGTGTCTTAGTAAAAGCTTTTCCAACTATGGCAGCTGTTGATGAAGACGGAAGCTGGTCTGTTGTGAAACCAAAGCTACAGAACTCAAGTAAGCGGATTTAGTATTTTGTGATTCAATTATCTTTTCTCTTCTCTGTGCTTTGCAGCTTCTTGACTAATGAAGGTCAAATATGCTTGGCAGTTACCAGGTGTCTTATTTTTTGGCTGGGCATAGCATATACTAAAATTATCATTACTTCAACATTTGTTTTTAAGCACGAGCAATTCCAAGATGTTTCTTAAACTTTAGATGCTCTACTCTGATACTCCCTATTTTCATCACATTCAAAAGGGGGAGGGGCCTAGAAAAGCTGCAAGACATGTCTTAGGACAAGATTTAGATGCAGTTACTTTGGCTTTTGCTATCAGATTCTTCCTGGAAAAGAAAACGTGTAACCTTTTTCCTGACCTCAGGAGCGCATTGTTGACCTTTTCAAACAAGTTCATCCGCCTTCTATCATTTTACGAAAATCCAAATCTTTGCTTATGTTTTACATCATATGCTGAATTAACAGAGCCCTTTATACGACTCAGTAGCATGATTTTCTAGCTGAAGTTCCACATTAAGATGCAAGATAATTTTATTTCACTCGTAACACAATATAAGAAGGAAAACTCAAATACTTTACACAGCAAAATATCCTCTTTAGTTTTTTTGTTTTTAACATTTGGCTAGTAAGACATTTTCTTCTATGGGCTTTATTGTGTTGCCTGCAGTTGAGCTAACAGTCGCAGCTCATGACACGACCGGTGGGATGGCGGCAAAGATATCAGAAGCTGCAATGATAGCAAAATTTGGAATTGATGTCTACATAGTCAAGGTAATAAAGTTCAACATTATATTTTGCTTTTAGTTCATCTGATTTTCCTAGGGCTCCTAATCTTTGAAATCTCTATCTTCTTCTCAGGCAGCAACAAGCCACTCATTGCGGGCCTTAAATGGAGATCTTAGAAGCAATATTCCAGACGACTGGCTCGGCACAGTGGTCCGGTCTCTCAAATAGTACTGCCATTTCCATCATCTTATGCATATTTTTAAAAGCACACCTTTTGTTCTCAATCACTTATGGTAAGTATATTGGTGCACCAAAAAAATTTAGTCAAAGTTCTGTCATTTTTATCTTGTTAAATTTGTAATTAGCACAATTTCTTCACATGTCATGAAGATTCAAACAGAGATTTATTTTGGCTATCGAGGACTATAACACTACTCTCCTCTTTTATCCTGCTAAATTTTTTAATGCTTAGTATAATGATGCAAGATGAAAGAATATTTCTAGGGAATCAATGTGATCTTCTCTCATAAGAAATGATTATGATGTTATAATTTTACGGGAAAAATTTTATAGTTAATGGTTAAACACCTGTCCTTTGCAGATATGCATGAGGTTTCCAGTTTCTAACTATTCAACTGAACGTGGTTATTTAATTTTTTCCAGTTTTATTACACCCAGAGAATATTATTTGATGCTATTGGCTCGAGCGGCATTTTATTTTGGATTAAAGTACATATTTGTCTGGAAATTTACACTCAAGAACGCTGGTGCCCAAAAGTTATTTTGGGTTAAGATGCAAATTTATTTCGAAAATTTTGCACTTAGGAACACAGGCACCCAAAAGTTCTTTTTTCAAGCAGTTTAAAATCATAGTAATATTATCCCTACCGTTAAAAAACTAATGTTAACTGTTAAAATAGTGATGTTGATTGTTAACATTTTTAATGGTGGGGGTCAAAATGTTAACAGTTAATGATATTATTTTAACAGTTAATGTTAGTTTTTTAATAGTATGGGGTAAAATTGTTGCAATTTTAAATTTTCCGAGCAAATTTACACACAATTTTTTTTCAGGCATCTAGTACTTTTGAGTAAGCGTTTAAGGCAAATTGGCTCCTTAACTCTTATTTTCCAGCTTCTTTCAAAAATTTTTTTATGAAAACTATCTTTTGTGATTAAATACATTAAATTATATGTTTAAAATAAATTGAAAAAAATCTAAAATCTAGTTAACAATGAAAACTAATTCATTATCCATAAATAGCATGGCTACCATCACTTTTTATATACTATTACAAAGAAAATGCCCTCAGTTTGTGTTATAAAAATTAGGGAAAACTAGTTTTAATTTAGAGGTCCTCATAATTTCACCTAATTTTGAATAAGGCCCAAAGCCCCAAAGCCACATCGTTTCAATTTTATTTTTATGTTTATTTTTTATAACTTATTTTACTATAGCAAACATATCTACATGCAGAGAGGATATTTTTATTTTTGGTCGTTTAGTAGTTGGAGATATCAATCATTGGTGCACTCCAGCTTCTTATAGACTAGTTATTCGTGGCCCTGGTGCTGAAGAGAGAAAGGGACAAGTCATTTACACTTGTTTCTTCGTATCCACAAAAAAAAACAAAAAATCACACGTTCCTCCTAATAAAGATTTGACATTATGTTGGCTATCGAGTAGCCCTGTTGCTTTACTTGGACTTGAGACTGGTTGTAAAACATAAGTAAATGCTAGGAAAAATTGTAATTAGGTCACATCTAAGGGATTAAATACAAAAAAGTCTCTTAAAATATCAAATTATTTTGAAGTCTCAAAAGATCTCATTATAATAAATTTTATTTGTTTAATTATCGAATTGTTCTTCTTTTTTTTCCTTAAGTTTGCATTGACAACTGAAAGAGCAATCGTTGATAACTTAAGATGCAAGGATTGACAACTATCATGGCAGATATTGACAACACATTTTCTAAGCATATCACAAATTGTAATGCATGAGTTATTAATATTTACTATGATAATTGTTAATCCTTACACCTTAAGTTGTCAACGATTACTCTTTCAATTGTCAATGCAAACTTTTTAAAAAAAGAAGACGACAATTTGATAATTAAACAAATGAATTCTCTTGCAATAAGGTCCCTTCGAACTTCAGAATAACTTAATGATTTTAAAAGACTTTTTTGTATTTAATTTTCTTAGGTGGGACTATGTTGCAACTATTGGACACTTCAATGAAGAAGATAAATAAATATGAGGTCTTTTGAAAACGAGAAGTAGAAAAAAAAAACTACTTAATAAAATAATAAAACATGTAATTTATTTACAAATTGAATTGTTGATAAAATACAATGAGGTTATATGGTTTATAAAGTTAATTCCACTTAAGGCTTCTTGTTACTCATTTTCATATTTTGCATGTGACTACTAACTGGTGTTGTCATTTTGGTTGGAATGTTGGGGTCCGCGATACATAAAGACGAATCATTTACAAGATTTATCATCATTCATCATTGGCCTTGACAAGAATATTTTTTTTTTGGACCGACACCTTGACAAAGATTTATCGTCTAGGGATATTGGCTATGTTATCTGTTACTACTTCCGCTAATGTGAATTACATTATAAAAAGAATTTGATAAGTATTTTTCTTTTGGTACAAAAAATATAGCCATAGTGAGGCCACGCTTACCCATGTGTTTGTCTTAGTCCCGTTCCGGTAAAGACATATTTTCTCCCCAAAACACGCACTTGGCGTAAATCTTACAGGATACCATAAAATTTCAAGAACTACAATTAGATAAATTTGGCAGGCCTGCTTTCCCTACATAATACATAACGCTTCTTTCAATCCTAAGATATACCTAATCAATTTATCCACAGTTAACAAAATAACTAAATTTGTTATTTGTCAAATAATATCTAGAATACCTGTTCCTTTTTTTAAAATATCTCTTTTTTAATGACTATTGAATGTTATAGACAAAAAGAGTAAAAATTTGTAAAAGAGAATAATGTGAAGATAAAAACATTAAATGAAAAAAAAAATATTGAGGTCCTATTCTTAGAAACAAAACAAAACCTAAATAAGGATTGCATTTAAAATTAAAGAGGGTATTTGCAGCACTTCGCATGAACCATGATCAATAATGTATGAACCAAAATCAGTTTTTTTGGGGGGGGGGGGGACAGAAGGATTCAACAGCAAACTAAAAGCAACGTGAAGAAGGAAATTTTAGTTGCAAACGAAAAAAGGTCTGAAGACCACAGCATATGTTAAGCGGATAAATAGCAGAACTGGCAAATATAACTTTATCACACCACGGAATAAGTCATGGTTAACACCTACATAGTACTTTCCAAATCACGTCATCTAGTAGTTTTGACCACATCTTTAAGAATGGTAGGTGGATTAAGTACACAAACCCCTTATAAATAAGAAAACCAAAAATACTATAGTATCTCAACAAAGTTCCACTTTTCAGCATTAAATTCAAAGAACAATTAGCCAATTACTTGGGGCCAATATCCTTAAGGGCACAAATCTGCTCCTCTCCCATTGCAGACATAACACTCACAACCAGATCTTTACCCTCAGCGAAACCATCCTTGATCTGCACAATAGATCCAAAATTCAGTCTGGCACGACTCGAATCAATTTAAGTTGGCAAAAATGACCCATTTCATTTCATTTGAGGTACTATATCCTAGATTGAACCTAACTTAACAGAGTCGTAATCTAAAAAGTGAAAAAGAAAGTAAACTAGTAGGTTAGATTCCTGAAATGTTGTTGAGCCAAGTTAGCTTTAGGATGCAGGACACTAGTTCTTAAATGTAAACCCAAGTATTATGGTCAATGTACATACGATGAAATTGTCATTTTTAGCAACTCAAGCTGCTGAGGCCCAACATAACAATTGACAAATTTGATACTCAATTGAACGAAAAAGAATATTCATCTCTACAACAATGTTATGCTGCTGCTACTACTAATCAATTTGTGAAGCAAAACACAACTTGATATACAAAAGGGGTGAAATAAACATGCTCACCTGCTTAAGCAGATTTTCATCGGTTGGGAGCCTAAGGTCATCCTTGGTATCACCAGAATCAGTCAGAAGACTCACCTAATACGTTTCAAATACATAGATATTAATTCATCGTTAAGAGAACAGATTACAATTCCACCATGAATTTGAAGAGAGGGGAGAAAGAAGAGGCAAATGTAATCATACAAATCCATCCTCAGAGATGTCAATCAGCTGGTAGTCAGTGCGGTTGACATGTGGGACCTGGAAAATAAGAATAAACACTTTAAATCACTATAAACATTTATATGTAAAAGGGTTGGCGTTAACTAAAGCAAAAAGAATCTCATACATCACAGTTGTGGGAAGATGGAACGATATCTTCAAGCTTTTTCCCAGTGAAGATGTCAATACCAACGAAGTGACACTTAGCATGTCCATGCTTGCCAGTCTTGGAGGTTGAAACTTCCACAACCTGTTGTACAATAAAAAGCAAAACTTATACTTAGGCTGCATAATCAATAGACCTTCCCTCAGTGGCACAGTGATCATCATGAAGATTTGAACACAAACAGCACAACTGAATAGCAGCCACTAAACAACAATTCCTCGATTTAGTCAAGCGTTCCTACCAATTAAACGGAAAATAAAAGATGCACCTTATATGCATAAGCAGAGCAACAACAATTCCTGGATCAGTCAAATCATATTTTCTCACTAACTGTGAATCCTGATTAATGAAAGAGGTAAATCTAACCCACTAATCGATCACTAATTTAAGCTCCAAGCCAAAATCTTGGCAAAAACCTAGAATAAAAGCTCCAAGCCAGAATCGGTAACTTAATTAACCTCCTAATAATTCTCCAGCGCCTGGTCAAAGTAGTGAAAGACATCCCACGTTTTGCCCCCTTTTAGTTTTCCCAATAAAGGCAAGCGAAAGGAAAAATCGGTAGATATTATAGGCTAACAGGATGATTTTAGCCCAAAACAAGCCGAGCGCAAGGACAACACCTCCGAAGAAAATATGCGACAACATAACCAAAAAATTATTCTGGGTTATCTAACTACAGACTCAATAATAACAACGCTAATTTACAAGTAATTAACAGGAAAAAGGAAAATCCATACATAGATAGGTTAAAGATAGGAAAAAATTAAAATTAACTCAGATCCGAAAACTCTCCGGAACGAACATGGACAGATTGTTGACAAAAGCTAAACCACAAAAAAATAATATGCAAATTAAATCGAACAAATTGGAGATCCATACGATGAAACTAGATCGAAGAAGAGGGAAGGAAAAAAGAGAAATCAGTAAAATCAAAGAGAATCGAGGCAAAAGGAAAGGAACCTTGCAAGGCCTGTTCTTGGTAACAATGTAACCGTTCTTACGGATGGTACCAGCTTGCTGAGGGAAGGTCTTGGAAGCTCCGGCATCGGCTTTAGACTCGAAGTGATGCTCCTCGTCCGACATGGCTGCGAATAAACCAGAGACAGAGAAGGAAGCAGACGAGTGAGAGTAGAGAGAGAAAGAGAAAGAGAGAGTGAGCGAAGAAGCGGCGAACTTGGAGACATCGCAATTTTATTATTATATAGAAACTAGGGAGCGACGAGGCGATCGCGAAGACGATTTTCGGAGCCTTTTTATTTTATTTATATTATATTATTTAATTTGAAGATGATTTAATATCCATCATATAATCTTAATGGAAAATTTTTAAAAATATGGATACACAATAATATCAATAATTTTTTGCCAGAACAATAATATTAATGCTGGCAAAAAAATAGTAATATTAATAATACTAATATTTAAAATAAAACATATGATAACACTTGTGCATCTTGTTCGCATGGAGAGTACGTTCAACTATTTTTTTAAGTGTATTCAATATTTTAAAGTATTTTTATTATGCATCTATCATCTTGAATTATTTTTTCAGGTGTTTTTAGCATCCTAAAGTACTTTTTAGTACAGTTTTACACTTAGCAATTTAAGGCGCTAAATAAACCAAACAAATAATTTAAAATGCTAAGCACACTTGAAAAAATATTTCAAGATATTAAATGCAGCAAAATATAACTTAAAATGTTGGACGCACTTAAAAAAATATTTCATAGTGTTCAATACACTAGAAAATACTTTAAAATATGGGAAATGACATAAAAAGAAACCTAAACTTCTTATATGCTAATTTAGGAAGCTAAGCATATCAAAATACAGAGAAGGAAGTCCTGCCTTATGTGGGATTTTGGAAATGTTCTTAAATGACCCAAAAGCCCTTCTGGTAGATTTGAAGAGAGAGAGAGAGAGAGACGCCAACTTGCCTACCCCTGTCGTGCTTGCCTGTTTCTTGCATTCACCATTGCTATGCTAAAATTGCCACCAAGTTGGAGAGTTTGAGAGGCTGAAATAGTGTGTGCATAAGAGAGGGGAGAAGTTCGAAGTTGAAGGCTATTTTGCTTGAAGGGTGAGTGTTCATGGGTCTCGCTGATTGGGTGGAAGGATAAAGGTTTGTTGTAAGTGATTCATCATTGTAGTTAACAAGCATTAGCAGCATCTGACTGATGTAAGTTTGGGGATTTAAGTTTTATTTGGTGGTCAACATTTTTGGGTGACTAGGGGAACGATTGATTAGTGAATATTTAGAAATGATACGATAATGTTTATGAATGACTAGAATGATTATTTTGGGTTTATTATCAATCTGTGTGAGATGCTAGTGTTTGTAAAACAAAGTTGAGCACTGTGACAGTAGCGAAAAATGGGTTTTCAAATGACTAGGAAAAATCTCTTATTGACTGGAAAGGATTAAGCAATAACCATATCAATGTTGTAAAAGCTGAACTAGAAATCGAGCCAAAAAGATCAATGGGTTATAGTTCAAACGGTTGGAACGGTTAGACCATTTGGTCAGACCAATAACATAATAATTAAATTAAAAATGGTGTTATATGGTATATACATATATAATATTATAAACATAATTAGTAAAATTTATAGTACAATCAGCAAAGTCACTGTATATGTTTTAACAAAATAAAATTATTGAAAATAACAGCACCTTAACAATCTAACGTTGCATGACCCATAAGTACTCAATACAATGCACAAAGAAAAAATGATTTGATGACTTGTCAAATATTGGAGATTCTTGATTAAGCCAAGCATGAGTCTCCAAAAAGGCATCTAGGTCTGTAACCTCTGGACTATGACTATCAATATCTTCTTAAAAAAATGATCATAAATCAACACCTGCTTCAACTCCAATTCCAAAGCATCCATCCTCAACTTGAACCTCATTGCCTCTCTTCATACGTATCTTTATAGAATAGTTTGCAACAATCCTATTATTGAAATTAGTAACATGTATAATATAAATTAAAAAAATAGCAAGATTGAAATTGAAAACATCTAACCTTCTTCATTGATGTAAACTTTTGGCATTAGTAGTGTTGTATCATCATAAATCATGTCTTCTTCGAACTCGTCAGCATGAAGTGTCGAAAGTGGAGGAGAATCAACTTCTTCTATTATCCAATATTCGATCTTATCAATACTTTCATAATCAATAGGGTCAAAAGTTTTGTTCTTGTTAAGAAGTCTAAAAAGCACATGACACTAACATAGTATTAGCATTCATTTAATTAATTGTTTGAAAAATATAAATTCAAGTAAAGTGTAAAGCTTGGAAAAATATACCTATTCCTCAAACAAAAATTATAATGAACAAGGACAAGATCACTCAGCCTTTTGTGCTCTAACCTATTCCTTTTCTTAGAGTGTATTCTTTTGAAGATACTCCAATCCCTTTCACAACTTGATAACGATGCAGTTTGGCTTAACGATTGAATAGCCAACTTTTTTATATTTGGACAACCACCTCCAAAATATTGCTACCATTCATCTACCACATAAAAAATGAAACATCATCAAATGATTAAGTCACAGGCTTAATGCCTAAGAATTAAGAATTATGACCCATCAAACTATCATCAAACATTAAAATATAAAACTTTACTAGGTCGCATTGATTTTGCAGATTCAAGGGCTAAAAGATGATTAAAGCTACCACTTCTATTTTGGTATTATGTGTCTTCTTGTAAGAATTTGGTCTTATTAGAAGCTATTTTCTTATTTATAACCATAAGATATCCATTCATAACCTCTAGCTTTTGATAAAAGTTAACTTGGTCATAAAGAAAAGTAGGATTTAAGACATAAGCTATTGAGTAAAAATTTTGGCAAAGTTATGTATTTCACCTTCTCTTAATAATCCTTGTATAAGGCTTAAATAAGGTTTTTTTTATGTTCATAAAAGTAATGTTGATAGCTTTCCTTGCCCTATACATACCCTCATAGATATATCCAAGCGAAGGCCTATCATCAGAATCAATTATTCTCGACAGTTGGACAAGTGGTTTTACAACTTCAACAAGAATCTTACAATCATTTTAGAATTTTTTACTTGATATAATCATTGTTACATCTTTGGCTTTGTGATCTCTATAGTATCTGGAATTTAAAAATGCCTTACTAGTTACCAGGGCTTGTAAATCATGCTTCTGATCAAGAAGATTTTCAATGCAATAAATGTAGTAGCAAGTTGTGTTGGCCCTGGGTAGATGATTTCTTTCCAACCTTCTCTTTTCCTCAGCCAACCAAGCAAAAATGCATGATTGTAAATGAATTTTGAAACCTCTGAAGCGCCTGATGCCAAACTAGTAATAATAGTCATTTTGCCACTGTTTGCTAAAATTAAATTTAAGCAATGGGCAACAAATGGAGATGACTATATAGAAGGATCCTTGTTAGTTAATAACCTCCCAGCAACTTTATAATTAGCTGCATTATTAGTTACCAAATGAACCACATTATCCACACCAACAAATATAACCATTTCCAAGAATAAGTTACAAAGAATTTGGGCATCCTTCACAATATTTGAGGCATCAACAGACTTAATGAACACAATTCCTCTAGGAGAATAAATAAGAAAATTAATTAATTTCTTATTTCTTTGATCTTGCAAACCATTAGCTGTTATTGTGCAACTAGTTTTTGTCTAAAAGCTTCTATACTCATCGAATAACAATTAAACCTCCTTTTTCGTATCTTGCAGTAATTTGGTTCTAAAAGCATGATAAGATGACCTTTTATAACCAGGTCCAATAGTTACAATAGCATCTATAGGTTGGAAGTAAGGAGAATTAACAGCATTAATTGGAATAAACAATGATAGAGCCACCTAGCCATAGCTAAGTCTGCCTATGCACAGCTTCCTTACCTGTAAATGCGCTTCTAATTCCCTATTATGCATCTAGGGTTGTCCTTGGGAAAGAATTTATCTATAGGTGCAGATGACTTTATTTTCATAGCTTGAGATGGTCTTAAGGTAGAAGCTTGAATATTTTATTGAGAAGAAGTTGGAGTAGGAGTTTGATTCTGTGTAGGAGGAACCTCTTGGAAATTTGGTGCATCCCCTTCAAATGGTGTGACAGTAGGACCGTAAGGATTGTCCTCTTCATATGTATCTTGTTTCTTACCTTTCTTCTCTTCAATTTCTTTCAAATTTTCTCCCAACCGAAAGCAAACATTACCCATAACCTTTTTAAAACTTATTATATCTCCTTTTATTCCTGCAAGATGCTTTTCATTCTATGTGTCCCTCCACTTACAAATTCCTTTGCACAATACATACATCTCAAATGAGGTTTGCCACCTTGGTTTTTGTTAGCCACTTGTGAAATGTCCCTCCTTTAACCCCTCAGAGTATGCATTCCTAAGCATTATGGTTTAAACGGATCACAACACCAGCCCTTGGATTTAAAATTTTAACATAATTACTCGGGTTACTATTCACTATTTAAATTCCATATTTTAGGTCCAACTTTAAACAATCATAACTAATTCTATAAGAAATTGTATGGAGGTGTCCAAAATTCTACTATTCACTATTTAACTAATTCTTTAAAAAGCTCTTTCAATGCTCTTTAAGGAAAAAAAATTAAAATAGACTTATCTCTGGCCAATTCATACAGTTTAATCAATAAAGATTACTGTTTATTTGGTAAATTCAAGAACTTTCAGATTCTGTGCCTTAACTTTGGGAATTCATATCTCTTTATGTACACATTCAATTGAGACAATCTACCTTTCATTTTAAAGCTTGGGATGCTTGGGATGTTTACTATAAGCCTACCAAATCTTGTGGCTTAACTCATTCATTTGATAGGTCAAACTAGAGCTACAAACTCACTATCGTAGGACCTATGTTTTATCCCTTAGTCACTCTTTACTTTAACTCTTTTTATGTCTTTGGCATACATAACTTGAGCTTACTCTGTCATTCATTCTCATACATTTTCATTCATACTATAGACATTATAATTAATTATGGCATCATTGGCATCCATGAACATAATTTATGAAATAGGAGAATTATACATTAATCAACAATCTCATTCATTAGCATCAAAAATAATTCTCCACTTTCTTTTTCTTGCTTCTCATGCCATTATTGCCCATCAACGATTGATTTAAATGGTTGGTTAGGGAGAGGGTGAG